ACTTCTAGGTCTGGTAATTCGATACAACACTCTCGTGGCTCCAATTACTGAGATCAATTTCTAAGCGGTTAGAAACAGAAACAGATTAGGGAACAATAATGAACGAAGGACTCCTAGAAGATTTTGAACCCTAAATCGAATAAAGCATAAGATCAAGACATGAAATTCCTTTTGAAGAATCCCTTAAAAACTCAACTGTGAAACTACTCAGACATAGTTGAATTCAACATCACAAGAGTATTTAGAATTGCAGAAAATTGAAATAAACAAAGTTTAGAAACGAAGAACAGGTTGAAGGAGGAGGGCCGATGGTGCCCCTCTCGGTGGCTCCTCTTCTGGGCGAGCTTCTCTTCTAGGGTTCCTGGTGAAAAATGTGGCACACCCTTCTAAATGACTTAAAAGGGGTTTATATAGTGTCTTGAGTCATCGGGAACGCCTAGGGCTTGCAGGAATAATGACGGGAGTGACTTGGGCTTTGATATGGGCTTCTGAGGCTCGGAATTGAGCTCCCCGCGGTCTAAAATTTCGCACCCCCGGCGGATGATGTTCTGGCCGCGGGTGAGCTTCTGACTGTGATGATTTGCCTTCAGTGTATCGACCATATCTGGAGATCTAACGGTTGGATAGCTTTGATTCCACTTGTATTGAAAAGCTGGTTGTCTCCTCTATCTTGTTTCAAAATTTGGGGATGATTAGACGGTGGGAAGGCTTCCATTTGTTACCAAACTTCCGACGGTCTAAATTTATCCAAAGTTATGATTTTTGCTTCCAAGTGCATTCCTTTTGTCAAAATAACCTGAAAACTCTTTTGAGATTCTAAAACATGGAAATCACTTAAAAATCTTTAAATGTCAGTGAAAACACCTGCTTAAGATATTCGAAGTGATCCATAAAAGTGGTCGAAATCAGGTGTTATCAACTCCCCCAGACTTAAACCTTTGTTTGTCCTCAAACAAAAACCAAAGATCTGAACCTAGAAAAGAGGTTTGAAAATCGCAGGAACTAACAAAATCTCAGAGACATGAAATTCCTTTTGAAGAATCCCTTAAAAACCCAACTGTGAAACTACTCAGACATAGCTCTTAACATTCATTTAAAAGTTCAAGTGGTTCTCATCAAAGGACTTTAGTAAAGCAATCAAGGCTAGGTATTTGATAGCAGGAATTTTTTAATCCTTGATCAATTCCTCAACTACTCATGTCATTGTAGCACTTGAGGTATCAATCCAAATGGAGAGATTCTAGACACTAGAACTATGAGGAGCTATCTTAATTCAAGTCTAACAAGCAGATGAGTTGGTAACAAGGTGATCTAAAACATAATACAAACAAAAACAAGCAGTAATATAAGAACAAGCAACAAGACAACAAAACAAAGACTCAGATTCAAAACAAAGAGAAAGCTAAACCTCTAGATGTGATCATTGATTAGGGTGCTTTAGAGATTTATTCATGATGCTAAGAACAATAATGCAATGCAAGTTACTCTTTAGTCTAGACTTCAAAAGCAGATTAATTCATTCCCATGACAATAATCTCTTTGTAAATCACTTAATCAAGATTAATTCACCTTAAGCAAGATCAAGCAATCAACAAGCATAAAGTATCAAGTCTAATAATGACCAAACGGTTTCTATTTCAAAGAGACCGAATCTTACACAGAAAGAAGCAACAAGCAATCACATGATCTCAAAACCAATTAACTTAGAACTAAAATCTAGACTAATCCTCTCATGAAGGCATTAATCTCTACACTAATCCACTTTCAAACCAAATCATCATTTGTGAAATATGAATCAGTGAGCATTAAGAAACAGTTCTAATATGTCATTCATGCATTTAACAAATCATTCCCATGATGAAAAAGGCATAAACCCTTAGCTTAGCTCATTCAGACATTTCATCAAACACCTTGTGGGTGGAGAAATGACTAAGGTCTAGATCAGAGTGATGTGCAAAGATCTAGCATTAAGAGCAGCTAACTAAGGAAAGGAGATGAGAATCTAGAATCTAAACATCATAAACAGATCATCTAAGCACCCTAATCTACACACCTAGAAGCTTAAAAGATGACTACTCACTAATCATGATTAACACACCATTTCTTTTGCAAGAGGTGGTGTTAATCATGATTAGAAGCAGAGATGAAATGATCAGATGATAAGAAACAGCCTTAAGATGATTAAATCTGCTAGATATCTCTTGATCAAACTCGTTTTTACACTAAGAAGTAGAGAGAAAAGAAAAGGGAAAACAGATTAGAGGATAAGATAAAGCATAACTAGGGTTTTAGTCTCTAAAAACTATTTATATAAAAGGGTGTGGGCCGGGTCAGCCCAGGACAAACTGGGTACTGACCCGCCCTTTCTGGGTTGCCGGAGCCACCCCTTGGCATCTGAAGAAGCACCACACCGAGGGTCACACACCAGGGGGTCATGTGCTGGGTTGAAACTTTGATGAACACTTGAAGAACATGCATGAGACTTGGCCTTTGATCCGGTTAAAGCTTTGAAACGTGAAGAGGATTTGTTTGTGATCTGGGTTGGAGATGAGAGGACCTCGGCATAACATGCCAAGGGGCTTGGTACCCGAGGTTTGTGTAACATAGGAGCTCGGCATAACATGCTGAAGGGTTCACACCAAGGTCTGCTTCAACACTTAGTCGTTTTGGGATCATTTTGGTGATCAAGGGAGCCTTGGTGTTGAAAGACCGAAGTCCTACCTCGAGTTATAGTCTCAAAGCTTCGTAAACATGCCTCCTCGGCATGTATTCACGCCGAGGTAGGACACAACACTTAGCTTACAGTCGCGTCTCTTAAAACCCGAATTGACTAGCTTCTCTTCTGTTCAGTGTAACTTTCAGCTCGTAACTCCAAATGACCTGAAACCAGTTCCATGAGAAAGATAACTCCTCCAGCTCGATCTTTGGTGAAGAAACTATCGGCGCTTGGGAAGTGGGAGGTTCCCTGGAGGGCTCATCTTTGCGATGCATTGACACGATCAGAAAGAGGCTTCTAGACATGCGTCCATTCCGGAAACGTTATCTTCTTGCTCATAGCTCCAAAGAGAATGCTCTCAAACGTTCTGGAAAGAGAACTCACATATCTCGAATCTTGATGAAGGCACTGTAAGCTGAATCGGTCTGGAAGTGCATCGTCCCTCGCAATCTTTGGAGCTCACCGGGTCGGTCTAAAAGTAGCGACGAGACATGTGTGTCTTCCGGTGAGCTTAACTCTCTGCTCACTATTTCAAATCCAATGATTCTAAGCGGTCCGGAAACTAAACTCATTGCTATAAAACTTCTATGAAGGCCCCGAAATCTAGATCGGAAGGGAAGGCTTCCCAGTAACGACGTCTTTGAGGCGTATCGGGTTTCTCTGGAATTAGTGCTAGACCTGTTCGTGTTCCGGTGACCATATCTTTCAGATCTGTAGTCCAAATGCCTTGATTGCAACTGTTCTGAACTCTTGACTCATTTATTTCCAACTTTCATGAAGACTCCGACAGCTGAATCAGACGGCAAGACCTTATGGTAACGTGATGTCCGAGACGTATCTACACTCGAGATTTTTGGCCGAGAAACTTAACCGCGGTACGTGTTTTTGGCCGAGATATCTACCCGCGGGAAGGATTTTGGCCGAGAATCTTCGACCTTCAGTACAGCATTTTGCCGAGAAACCCAAAATTGCTCCTTTTCACCATTTTTGATCATTCCAACTCCATTTCTTCATCTGAATCACATCCTCCACTCCAAATTGGCTCCAAAAGCACCTGTTTAATACTCCAAAACATGCAAAACTCTCTTGGACCTAATGCAATCTCCTAAGTCCTAAAACAATGTCTAAAGACCTAAAATGCATGAGATAAGACATGATTTGGACTAAAATATGTACACTAAATGATGCAATTTATGAATATATCAGTATTCCAAATGGCTTTTTGATGGTAAGGCTTGATGTGTTTAGGATTACCTTTTTCTGGAGAGACAGGACATTATGCAAAACTGCAAGAGAGGAGGGAACTGTAAATGCCCCCACAGTTTCAGTCAAACTCTTCTTGCTTCAAGATTTCTGACCTCCTTTCTTCAGGTTCTCCTTATAATTCCCCTAGACTTCGATTTTTGTCCAGGTTGTGAATCCATAACTCCTTAAACGAATATTGTTGTCTTGGCTCAAATGATTTTGGCTACTAAGACTCTTTTAGGCTTTTAGTTTCCTTTCCTTTCTCTCTTTTCTTCTTTTTTTTTTTCTTTAGAAAGGGGAAACTGCCTTTTGACTTGGAGTCCTAGGGAGCACGAAAATTAACTTTAAAAATGAGTTTTTCTGAGGCATCATAAGATTTCTGGCACACTCCCTTTTGGTCTCTCTCAGTCTTTCTCTTGAGTGACTGAAAACTGTGTTGTTCCTCTCTCTCCGGCGTTTTTGCACATATCTGCCAAAAGAGCTAAAGAGAGAATGCATGAAGTTTGAAATGATGGTTTGGGTAAAGGGTGTGGTACCAGCTAAAGATGAACTGGCCATCTAGGACAAATAAAGAATGGTAACAATGATGTTAAGATGTCCTAGATGTATATCATGATGCCTCCCTAAAACCAATGATGAGAAAATTAGATGTCAAGATTATGTTCAAGTAGAATGAGCTAGTGTATCCTGGCAGAAAAGATCTCCTTGAATAGAAATCCTCTGGTGGGAGTTCGTAGTGCAAGTAGTCTAGCTACCACCTAGTCTAGTACTAACCACAAAGAACCAACATGTAAAGTCTAGAAGCATATGATTTTGTTCCGGTGTTCCTGTTTTGAAAACCGTTTTGAAAACTTTTTGTGAAACACAAACTCAAGAGAAACCAAATTTCATTAGTAAAGGATGAACATCCTCCCCCAGACTTAAATCACACTGCCTCCAGTGTGACAAATCTTTGAGAGGATGGGATAATGATGGACTGAAATTTGGAATGTTTAGGTGTACTTACCTGGTGATGTGGTTTCTGGTTCGTGATTTTTGTTCACCTCTTATTCGTTCTTCGCTTAAAAACCTGAAATTACAAAAAAAAAAACAAAGCAGCAAAAATAGAAAAAGGCAAATCAAAGGGAATAAGTAAAATACCAAGAGGGTTGCCTCCCACTAAGCACTTGCTTAGAGTCATTAGCTTGACTTTGATAATGCTCTAGCCTGGCAGGTCTGCTAATAGCATTGCTTCTCTTCCTTCTTCTTCTGCGAGGTATGGTTTTAAACTTTGTCCGTTGACGACAAATGTATCTCCTTTCTTACCCCAAAGAATGAGTGCTCCATACGGTTTGACTTCCTTTACTGTGAAAGGTCCAGACCATCTAGATCGTAGCTTTCCTGGAAATAGCTTAAGGCGAGAATTGAAAAGAAGAACTCTGTCATTTGGAGCAAAGGATCGATGTATGATCCTTCTATCGTGATATGCCTTCGTCTTCTCCTTGTATATCTTGGAGTTTTCGTAGGCGTTTTGGCGGATTTCTTCTAATTTGTGCATTTGAAGCATTCTTCTTTCTCCAGCTGCCTTAAAGTCCATGTTTGTCTCCTTAATAGCCCATTGTGATTTATACTCAAGCCCTACAGGGAGGTGACATGCTTTTCCATAAACAAGGTTGAACGGCATGGTCCCTAAAGGAGTTTTGTATGCCCAAAGTGCATTGTCGAGTTTTTCAGACCAATCTTTGCGATTTAAGCCAGTTGTCTTTTGTAAAATCGACTTGATCTCTCTGTTAGAGATTTCCACTTGTCCACTTGTTTGAGGGTGATATGGAGATGCAACTTTATGCGTGACTCCATTCTTTTTTAGCAGATTTTCGAAGACTCTATTGATGAAATGGGATCCTCCATTGCTTATCACAATTCGAGGAACTACAAAACGAGGGAAAATGATTGATTTAAACAGCTTTATAACCACTTTTGCATCATTAGTAGGGCTGGCGACTGCTTCTACCCATTTAGAGACATAGTCTACCGCTACTAAGATGTATTGGTTTCCGAAAGAAGTTGGGGAAGGTCCCATGAAATCAATTCCCCATACATCAAAGATTTCGACTTCGAGAATGAATTTTTGAGGCATTTCATTCCTCTTACTGATGTTGCCCATTCGTTACCTATTTAGAGACATAGTCAACCTCTTTTTCTAGTTCTTCAATCCTGGAAAAAGGATAATAAGGAGGAAGTATGGAATTGGGTTGATCAGATTGGGTTTGCTTGAAAGAAGGTTGAAAAGGGGGTTGGAAATCAGGCTGGTCGCGGTCAAAATGCTCTGACCCGCGGTGAAACTCCTCTTGGCCGCGGCCAAAAGCTTCCCACCCACGGTGGAGGTTGGTTTTGCCGCGGTTGAAAGGCTCACACCCCTGGTGGGGTTGATTCTGCTCAGCCTCTTCAATCTGATAGACATCGGCAGTTTGCATCATCTTCTGAGTTTGGAAACTCCTCTCTACCCCAAGGTCATTCATCTTTTCGACGCAGGGTTTGTTGTGTTTGCTCCTATAATCAGAGTTATGAATGGGACCAATCGCACTAAGGATCTTACGGATGTCTTCCCTAATCTGATCTAGACATTCTTTACTAACAGGTGGTTCTTTTTCCTCGATCTTAGAACATCTAGATTGGGTTAGAAGTCTCCTATTTCTGATACTCCCAGCTAGATTAGTGATATAGGGGTGAGCCTCATCTACAGTTCTAGTGAAAAGGTCTCCATTGCTAGAGGTATCAAAAGAAAACTTCAGTTCTTCATTAACTCCATGGTAGAAGATGGTCATCAGGCGCTCCTCGGAGAAACCATGGTGTGGGCAATCTCTTTGGTAATCTCTGAATCTTTCCCAGGCGTCATAGAGGTTTTTTGTGTCCTCCTGCTGAAATTTTTGGATCTTGTCCCTTAAGAGATTGGAACGATCTCTGGTGTAAAAGTGACTTAGGAAAGCCTCTCTACACTCTTTCCACGTCTTCAAGGACGCAGGTGGCAAATTTTCAAGCCATTTACTAGCTCTACCAGTTAGAGAGAATGGGAAAATGACACACATATGGTAATAGGTATTTTTCATTATGGTTGAACACAGCTCTTCAAAATTTTCAATATGATCTATTGGGTGTTCAGTAGAAAAACCGTTATACTTTTTGATCAATTCCTCAACTACTCATGTCATTGTAGCACTTGAGGTATCAATCCAAATGGAGAGATTCTAGACAGTAAGACTATGAGGATCAATTCTTAATCCAAGTCTAACTAAACAGATGAGTTGGTAACAAGGTGATCTAAAAACATAAAGCAAACAAGAACAAGCAGTAATTAAGAATTAAACAAGCAAGAGAAACTAAATAAACACTCAAATTCAAATAAAGAGAAAGCTAAACCTCTAGATGTGATCATTGATCAGGGTGCTTTCAATGCTTAACTCATGATGCTAAGAAAACAATGCAACACTTGCAATTCTTAGTCTAGACTTCCAAAGCAGATTAATTCATTCTCATGACAGAAATCTCTTTGCAAATTACTTAATCAAGACTAATTCCCATTAGTGAATAAGCAATTAACAAGCATAAGGTTCCAAGTCTAACATGACCAAACAGCCTCTTTGTGCATCAAAATAAGAGCTAAGAAAGACTGAATCATATACAGAAAGATAAAGCAAGCATCACATGATCTCAAATTCCAATCAACTTAGAACTCAAAGCAAGACCATTTCTTTCCCAAGACAATGATCACTATACTAATCAGCATTCAAACCTAACTCTCATTAGTGGTAATGATGATCAATATGCATTAATAAACAGTTCTAATATGTCATTTATGCTTTAAACAAACATTCCCATGGCATTTAAAACATAAACACTTAAGTTAGCTCATTCAGGCATTTCAGCAAACACCTTGTGGGTGGAGAAATGCCTAAGCTCTAGATCAAGCTTATAATGAGAGATCTAGCATTAAGAACAGTTAACTAAGGAAAGGAAATGAGAATTTAGAACCTAAACATCATTAATCAAACATCAAAGCACCCTAATCTACACACCTAGAAGCTTAAAAGAAGACTACTCACTAATCATGCTTAACACACCTATTCTTTTGCAAGAGGTGTTGTTAAATATGATTAGAAGCAAAGATAAGAAGATGAGATGATAAGAAACAGACTTAGATTGATTAATTCCTTGAGATATCTCTTAACAAACTCGTTTTTTTTAACAAAAGGGGAAAGAGAAACAAGAGAAAACAAAGCCTTTTTTCTTGGAAAAAACCCTAAAAAGCATATATAGTGTCTCTTGCGGACCGGGTCAGCCCAGGACAAACTGGGTCCTGACCCGGCTTTGATGGATAGTGGTGTGGTTTGCCACGGTCAGATGATGCTTGGAAAGACCGTGGCAAACTGACCGTGGCAAACTGATAGTGTCAAAGTTCTTGGACAGATTCTTCATGATCAAGGTTGCCATGGCTTGATTTACACCATGTCTAGTGGCCGTGTCTCTTCTTTTCTGGGTTTGGGTGATGAACTTCTTGGATTGCCACGGTCTAGTAGCTCTTGGTCAAGCCCCGTGGCAAGTGGTCGTGTCAAACGCCGAAGGTGTGTAAAAGTTGCCATGGTCAAGTCCTAGACCGTGGCATTGAAACCGTGTCAAGTACCGAATGCTTGTAAAGTTCTTCCCGGCTAAATGTTACTTTGCCACGGTCAAGTGTAGACCGTGGAATTCAGATCGTGTCAAACGCCGAAGGATTGCAAATAAGTGCCACGGCCAAGTGTGGACCGTGGCATTCCATCGCGGAATGTTTCACTTAGCTCGCATCATTCAGGGCTGTTTGGACCACTTCGCATTCCGGAGAGTGTAACTTCTACGATACTTGTCCGAATTGTGTGCTTCAGGTTTCAAAAGACAGAGGATTCATATACCTTAAATTTTGGTGAAGGAAGCTTCGGTGCTTGGGAAGTGGAAGGCTTACTGGAGGGCTCATCTTCGCAGTGCATTTACACGATCAGAGAGAGGCGTCTAGACATGTGTCCATTCCGGAGACCGTATCTTCCTGATCATAGCTCCGAATTGAATGATATTGGACGTTCTGGAAAGAAAACTCAAATATCTCTGATTCTAATGAAGGCCCCGGAAACCGAATCAGCCTGGAAGTGCACCGTCCTTCGCATTCTTCGGAGCATATCGGGTTCGTCCAAAACGGCAGCGAGACAGGAGTTTCTTCCGACGAGCTTAACATTCTGCTCACGCGTCCGAATTCCATGATTCCACTTGCTCTGGAACCGTGATCCAATCTTCTCCAACTTTAATGAATCACCCGACAGCTGAATCGGACCGGAAGGTTCCCCGGACAGGCGATTTCGGAAACGTGTCTGCACCCGGAGATTTTGGCCGAGAAATCCATTGGCCGGTACGCGTTTTGGCCGACAAAATCCACCCACGGTACGTGAGAATGGCCGAGAAAAACCTTCCTGGTGCGCGAGAATGGCCGAGAACCTCCAAAAACCCAATTTTACCATTTTTCAAGCCTTGATCACCATTCCACTTCCTGGATTCATCTTTTCAGCTCCAAATAGCTCCAAATACACCTGATAAACACTCAAAACATGCGAAGACTCATTGGGACCTAATGCATCTCCTAAGTTCTAAAACAAACCCTAAGGACCTAAAATGCATGAAATAAAACATGATTTGGAATGAAATATGCAACCTAAATGATGCAAATTATGAACATATCAACTCCCCCACACTTATCCTTTGCTTATCCTCAAGCAAAAAGAACAAATGAGAAAGAGAGGTTGAATGCATTGGGAGTTCATATTTCTTTTTTGAGAGAAGTGATCACAATAAGAATTCAAGTTCATGCTCAATTATGCAATGCAAAGCCATACTCAGATATATATCTACTCAACAAGGAATCTGCACAAGTTCTTCTCTCTCTCAACTCTTTCACATTCATTAAGCTTTTCACCAAGTAGATCAAATGATGCATTGTTTAAACAAACATAGTTTGGCTTGGGTGAGGTTATGAGACTAAAATGATGTCATCAATGCCTGAGTGGGTTCAATGCAGGAAAAGGATCTCTCTATGAATGACCAAACTTTGGCAGAATGCTAAAGGTAAAAGACAACCTATGCATACAAGGGCAAGGACTCATCCCACCCCACACTCTACTCAAAGTTTCCTCACTTGCTTACTTTTCACACTCATTCTTCTCTCACTAGGGGATTCTCTTTTCCTTTTCATACACAAGTCTTGGAGTTCAAACTTTCCATAGCTCTTTTTCACTTCCTTTTGTAACCTCTAACCTCTTTTTTTTCTTTCTTTTTTTAAAACATTTGAGCTCTTTGGCTTCTTTTTTTTCACTTAGAGGCTAGTGATAACTAAGAATTTTCAGGCTCTTAGAAGGGTTATCAATCCCCTAGTCAAAGTAGTATAAGGGGTGTCAAACCAAGCTTGTAAACGAGACACTAGCCTATGTCATTTGTTCACTTAAGTCAAGACAAGATGATAAAAGTTTGGTGACAATGATTAACAGGCAAATGAGCAATAAAGTTAAATAAAAGCAGAGATTTAAACTAATCAAGATGCAAATAACAAACAGGTGATTCAGATGATGGTAATGAATGATAAAGGCAGAAGCTTTAGACAGGATATTTGACTCAGGTGCTTCCAAGTTAGACTAAGGCGCTAATGAATCATTTTATCAAGCGATTTCATTTGACTTTGAACTCAAGGCACGTTAATCTTCTCATGAAAGTATTAAACGTCTAAACTGATCCTCTTTCATACCAAAATCCCTTTTGAGAAGCACGAATCAGTCAGCAATAAGAATCGGTTCAAAAACGTCATTTAAGAGAACAAACTATCACTCTCGCGATGAAACACTCTTAAACCCTTAACCGAGTGGTTCAGACATTTCTACAAACACTTCTGATGCGAGATATGTCTCAGATCTGAACCTCAAGTGATGTGCTTGGAGCCAGCTTAGAGATCTCGTCGGTTAAGGAATGAAACATGCAAGACTAGACACCTAAACCCATTAATCCACCTTGAAAGCACCCTAATCTACCTATCTAAAGCCGCTTAAACGACTACTCACTAATCATAACGAGCTCACTAAGTCCTTTGCAAGACGTGTA